ATGATATGGCATCTGAAAACAATATTATGGATCAACTTGCTGCTCACACCACTGCAGTCAAAGTTTCAGCAACGAAACTTGCCAACACCAACAAAGAAATCAAGGAACTCAAGTCTGAGCGTGAAGTTGTTCGAAGTTATGTTGGTGATGTGAATGCCTTACTCTCCAACATTCTCGACTCTCACGATCATATTCTCACCATTTCCATTCGACGACACTTGGATGAAACGTTTCGTCCTGCTCTTGCAATGTTAAACCGAATTGAGGGTGTTTCGGAGCCTCCCGTCTTTCCAAAACAAGGGGAGAAGCATCAAAAGAATCAACTCAGCCGCCTCCGAACACATCTACTCATGAAGAGCAAACACTGAAAGTCACTGGTGAACCGAAGGTTAATGTAGCTTCGGGTTCAAAAGGTAAAGAAAAATTGGTGAATAGTGATGAGGAAGAAGAAAGCGAAGCTGACCAGTTGAAGCGAAAGGCTCGTGATCAACTCCTGGATGAGAATGCTCGCATTGCCAGAGAAGCAGAAGCAAAAGAGAAAGCTGAACGCGAAGCTCAAGTGACCTTGGAAAGTCGAAAGACTTTGTTTCCACTAGGAGAGAATTCTAAATGAGGCCATTGACAATCCAAGCATGCATTGGCTGGAACCTGTTGCTTCATTCGATCTAGAGAATTCACAGGATTTGCAGTTTGATATGCCAATGACTCCAAAAGCGTTTCTCTTTTGTTTTTTTGATTCAACGGTGAATGCTCCAGCTTCTGATACGAATGTTGATCGGTCCTTGATTGAGTTCTACTTATCCCAGGGCAAACCTCAGTATCTTACTTGGAGTGCACAAAAGATTACTGTTGTGAAGGTTATACGGCCTATTCAAACATGGAGTTTCGTGAACGTTAAGTTCAAAACGGCACGAGGATCAGAAAGTGTTGTTCATGAATTCTCCTTAGCTGATCTGCCATGTCTCAACCTGTCTATCTTCTGGGAGATGAAAAGAAGTATGAACCTGTCTTGATGCATATAAAACGAATGCTGGTTTCGTATATCTATGAAGTTGCAGATTTTGATATTGAAATCGCTTCGGTTCTGAAAAAGAAACCCACTGCTCCCCTCACTGGCAAAATGAACGACATCAAAAAAATGCAGATGGGGAAGATTGACAAAGAAAATTGGACCGTGATGTTTCATCGTGGTACCGGAGCTAACTTGAATAAGTGCCTCTTCGCACTGTCTGACAAGCATCTGTTCTCTACAGTTTGCTTGGAATTTATTTTGGAATCACAGGCCAATGCAAGATGAATGACGATGTTGCGAAGAAGAATTTTTCTGATATGATTCGTTGGTACATTGCCTTTCGCATGCACCTTCTTGCAGTCATTCCCAAACTCTTCAAGACCGTAAAGAAGACTCAACAGTAAAGAGCTTCTTGCCTCAATAGACACAAAGGGGGAGATTGTTGGGAATTAGTGTTGCATTATTTAGTCTTGTTTTATTGTTTAATTATGTAAACGGGCTTCGGCTTGTTTACCCGTCATTTATTAGGGTTAGAGTATTTAAGGTGCATGCATGCACTGTGTTTCATAACTTTGACAATTATTCTTGTAACCCTAATCACGCATCTACAGTAGCAATTCTTAATCGAATTCTTCTGAGGCTGTGGCTTTTAATCATTCAGCGTACTTTGAATCATTGTCGAGTTCTTATTCTTTAACTGTTTTGAATCTAATTGATCTTTCAAGGATTTATATCCTAACAGACTACCTTCGCGAACAACGTCTCATTCAACACCAAAAACGCTCCCACAAAAGGCAGTAGTTTCCACTGGCTCCTCTTTAGGTTCACGGGGAAGTTCAGTCGTCTCTTCTCTCATCCCCTCCGACTGTTTCGGAGCGTCATCATTGGGAATATCAACCACTACAGTGGCCTCCCCCAAAAGGAAGTCCACGTTCCGCCTCTTGAGAATGCGTCGACCCAAGGAGCTGGCCTCAGCGGACTCTGCAAGCGGCGAATCCAACCAGGAAAGTCGTCGTTTGGAGGTCGTACGGGTGCTACGCCGCATCAATCCGGTCGACGCCTCCTCCCCATCCGTATAAGAAGGCAAAGGGTCCTCACAAGAAACACCACCGACAGGCTCGTCAATCAACACCTGACCAACGGGAGAATAGGACTCGGGGGAGAAGCAACAAGAGGGCCGACAAGAGCCAAGGCACGGTCGGGACTGACCAGTGGAGGGAGCGTCTCAACCAAGGGCACTTCCCGGTATTGGCAGGTGCCCTGAAAGCGGCCCCTCAACACCATCTCAAAGGGAAGGATCCCCGCATAACTTGCAAACGAGAAATAAGCCAACATAGTTCGCAAAACACACAAGAAAACAAAAATCTAAGAGGGGGGAAGGAGAGGTACTTACCGTCCTTCTCAACATAGAACTGAGGCATTATCCCCCGAGCCCTCCAAGCATCGCTCATCCCGACTGCAACCAGCATATGATCCTCCCAATCCTCGCCATTGATGCAAATGGTCTTTAATGCTTGCGCCACAGTGGCACTGGCACCCCACAGTTCTGGTGCTCGATCGGAAAAAGTAGTCAAACGAGGATAGCCAAAACCGACAAGGTCGCGATTTACCTAGAGCCAATGGTCTTGCCAGTTCTTCAGAGCTTTTTGGTTAATGATAAAGGCATGAACACCTCGCCTTTGGGAAAAATTTCGAGCACCGGATTGAGTAGAAGAATTGAAGAAAGCTTTGAATGCCCACAACTGTAGCAGAACTCCAAGGGCCCGACAGACGAGTTCAAAAACAACAATCTTGTTGACAACGTTTGGAGTCAAGTCATCCACGCGGAAGCCATACTGGCACATTATCTCGTCGAAAAAGTCCGTCGTTGGCAGCCTCAGACCAGCCTCAAAGATCGAAATGGGGACTCCAAATTTCCCCTCCGGCAGACGAGAAATTATAGCCCCCTTTCGATGGTATTCCATATCATGTTCAGGAAGGAAACCAAACCGCTCTTGAAGATCAGCGAACTCGCTCGGAGAAGGAACGATTCTGGTATTTGGGCTAGCCATTGTTCGTCGAAAAACAAAAAAGCAGAAACAGAGAGAAAGAGGAAAAGAAGTAGCAGAAGTGAGAAGAAGCAAAAAATAAAAGGGGAACTGACACAAATGGGAGAAGATTTAAATACAGGTGGGAAGTTCAAGCAGTTATGATGATGAAAACCGCCTGTGCAGACGCCTCCGTCACGTCAGAAGTTTTCAAAGAGCCATCCCCACCAAACGCGTGTCCAAATCTAAGATAGAACAACTCAACTACCCTAAGCAAACACTAACATCTACTAGCCTAGGGGACTTGATAACGTATCCCACCAGGAATACGTCAAACATAACAGAACCGTCAGTCTGATAGACGGTTTAGGCAAAGGACGGCATATGCCTAACGCTGCGTCATCGCCCTCGCCCTCGCGATCCTGTATTCGTCCCTTGGCGCCCAAGCGCCAAGGTCAGGGTCATGACAAAATAGTACCAGTCGCCTCCCATAGCGACATGTGTAGCGCTCAGGACGCCGGTCCTGACAAACCTACACCAATAACAAACAACTACTCGCGAAGCACGATCTACCAATCGAAGGCCATCTATCCCTGCCAAACCTGAAAAAGGTAGAAGGTACTGTCGGGATCTGTCCCCTTACCACAGGTATAAAAAGGTCCCTTCTCCTCCAAGAGAAGGGATCGAAAAAAACGCGACCCTTAAACTCTTACCTAACACTTTTTCACCTTCTCTCTAAGAGACTAACTAACTTGATCGTCGGAGCTTCGTTCCGGGACTGCCTCCCGGACGACGACTGACGATCGTGTTTTCTTTGCTATGATTCTCAGGCCCTTCGTTTCCATCCCTCAAAGAGACGGAGTTAAGCCGAAGACATATCACAACAAATACCTTGTTTGTTAGTATTATACTATTTCAATAAAACATAACAATTTTAGTACATAATTAGTTATATCTTAAATTTTGAAATGTATGTAAATTTGACATTTTTTTAACAACATTGTTGAACAAAAATTGACAAATATTATCCGTATAAGAGCCAAAAGATCCCGATTCAAGATAAACCAAATAAGACAATGCAAGCAAAAATTCTTAATTCCCCAATTTATTATATAAGTTCTTAGGGATCAATGTTTGGACAATGCAAACTAGAAATAATTTGTCCAAAAGAGCCTTAAATACTAGAAAAAAAACATGTAACTTTTTATATCTACATATTTATGTTGTGTTATAGCAGTAAACTTTCACAATACAATGCTAAAATTGGGAGCTAATTATCTGATTTTCTTGTGCCATGTATATTTTATCCCCAACTGATTGCATAAATGGTGCATGTGCACTCTTTTTTTTATGTGACTTTTTCGTTAGTTATAGCAGACTACTTTAAAAATGGTAGATATTATGAACCAATTATAACATTCTACTTTATAAATAACACTATTTGTTCATTTTACGCATAGTCGCAACCTTGCTATACCAGATAAGGGGTGTCTTTACAAAGATGACAAATTTAAAATATTACGAAATAATTAAATATCATAATTTTATCAAATATCTACAAATACAAAATGTCTATCGGATATTCAAACCAATATAGATATTAATTTGAAATATTCATTATATCATTATAAACTTATTGGCAAAATATCTATGTTTGTAATTTAATAAATTAATTTTAATTATTGGTCAATCATTACGTTTATGATTTATTTATAATATTTTTCTTTATACTCGTGACATGTTATAACCTAATTTATTAGTAAAAACATATCCCAACCTCTAAGGCATAACCAATTGTATTAAATATGTTTGAGTGATTTGATGGTATACACAAAGGTTTTATGTTTCATCTTTTCCTAATGGGAGCAATCATGTTTAATTTATAATTTCACTTTGCAGTTACAAAAATAGTAAGTTTTATTATTTTCTTTATTTAAAATAAAGAACAAAATATGCTCAAAATCTTACATAGGTGCGCGTATCTCCGGACGTGAAAATATCTGTAGACTCTAAAATCTAGAAAAGAAAAAAAAAACCTACAAGGACGAAGAGATTAAATCTCATCCGTTGGTTAAGAATACCGTCTACTCTCAATCACTTGTTATTCTCTCATCCAGGTTGACCCATCATCGCCTCCGCCACAAACCCTCCTCAATCACCCCTCTCTCGTTTGTTTCTGAGAGAGACACAAGGGGAATATATACATAAAAACCTTACTATCCCAGCTTCAGAGACACACACATACATACATATATATAAACATTAATCTATGGATTCAGATCAGGGGAAGCTGTTCATCGGTGGGATTTCATGGGAAACTTCGGAGGAGAAGCTGAAAGAGTATTTCGGTAATTATGGAGAGATTCTACAGACGGTCGTAATGAGAGACAAGATCTCCGGCAGGCCACGCGGTTTTGGTTTCGTCGTCTTTTCAGATCCTTCCGTACTCGACACTGTTCTTCAAGAAAAACACACCATTGATGGCCGAACGGTATTTCTCCTACCTAGATCTCTTTTTCTTGTTATAAATCTTCATTTCATTTACTTCCGCTACTTATTCCTTTCCGATTTAGGTTTATACCTTTATATTTTCTAACCCTAGTCTTGTGAAATAGTGTCTACCACTACTGATTTAGTGGTAATTAATGACACCAGCTCAGACTTATATGTAGGACTAACGCAAAGGATTTTACACTAATGAGAATTAAAACAATTACATGATGCGTGTCCTCGCTTTTTGGTTTTTATAACCTCGATTTTGGATGTATTATTGAAAAGGGGAAACTTGCTTTTTGAGAAATGCCCTAGGGGATGGCCAAAACATAGGGCAAATAGTCAATCTGCACCAACGAAATATCGCCAAAAAGACCCTTGGGGATTGTTATTCAGTGATTCAGATTTCAGAACATTTTTTCAATTATGATTCTTTTTGCTTTCTGATGGCTTACATTTTTTAGCGCATCCCAGTTTGGGATGGAAGGTGTCAAGGTGGTATTGTTATTGAATACAGAATACTTAGTCAGTTAAAAGAAAGATTTAGATGTCACATGAGCTTTGAATAAGGCAATGGTTGTAGGTTTTCCTAGAGAAATTTTGGAATATTTCTTCACTTGTTTGTTGTTTCCCTGTGTAATTGCACTTATCAAGATTTTAAGCCTTGTATTTTTTTGTTAAAAAGTTTTTCATCCACTGATATGTTTTATGTTACTACACACCATGGATATGAAAAGGAAGCTGTGCTTGCTATTTCTGAGTGTTTATTTATCAAATATACAGTTGTTATCATCGTTGTTGTACATGTTTTGACAATTAGCCATATTTTTTTTAAGGTGGAGGCTAAGAGGGCCTTATCAAGAGAGGAACAACAGGTGTCAAAAGCTGGAAACCCGAGTGGTGGTAGAAGTTTTGGTGGTGGTGGTGGGGGTGGGGGAGGTACAAGGACAAAGAAAATATTTGTGGGGGGTTTGCCACCCACTTTGAGTGAAGAAGGATTTCGTCAGTATTTTGAAGTGTATGGACAGGTAACTGATGTAGTAGTAATGTATGATCAGCAGACTAACAGGCCTCGTGGCTTTGGATTTATTTCATTCGATTCTGAGGATGCTGTTGATAGGGTTTTGCACAAGACTTTCCATGATTTGAATGGTAAGCAAGTAGAAGTTAAAAGGGCTCTTCCTAAGGACGCTAACCCTGGTGGTGGTGGTGCTGGTGGTGGGCGGTCCATGGGCAGTGGTGGTGGTGGTGGTGGTTATGGTGGAAGTTCAGGTTCTTATGAGAGTAGAATGGATTCTAACAGGTACATGCAATCTCAAAGTGGCGGCGGTGGTGGTGGTGGTGGTGGTGGTGGAGGGTTTCCACCATATGGGACACCTGGATATGGATATGGCCCTAGTAATGGAATGGGTTACAATGGGTATGGCAGCTATGGTGGTGGGACCCCAGGGTATGGTGGTGCACCATATGGAAACCCAAATGTTGCAGGTGCAGGGTATGGAAGCGCTCCATCTGGTGCAGCAAGGAGTTCATGGAATGCTCAGCCTTCCTCCGGATATGGTGGTGCCGGAGCTTACGGGGCTGCCCCATGGGGTGGTTCTGTTGCTGGAGGTGGTGGTTCACAGGCGGCACCACCACCTACCGGTCAATCTCCGAGTGGAGGTGCTGGGTATGGGAGTCAAGGGTATGGTTATGGTGGTGGATACGGTGGTGGTAACGACGGGTCTTATGGGAATCCTGCTGGATATGGTGCTGTTGGCGGCCGTATCGGTGGTGCTCCGGCTGCCAATTCTGGTGGTGCTGGCGGAGAAATTCAGGCCTCTGGCGGTGGTGGTGGTGGCTACATGGGGGGAAGTGGTGGTTATGGGGATGCTAATGGATATGGGAATTCAGGGTGGAGGGGTGATCCTTCACAAGCTTCCGCCGGGAACTATGGTGTTCAGGGGAATGGCGGGCAAGGTGGTGGTGGGTATGGTGGTTATGGCGGTGGTCCGGTGAGGCAGGGTTAGCAAGAGTGATTTTTGATCGTACAATTAATATGTTGTTGCGGATAGGATGACTGGTTGGGTTGGGTTGGCTTGCTTGATTGATTCTCGGTAGCTTGAAGTAATCTATTATCTGTTTTGGTTGGTTTTTTCTTTCTTTTAAATAAGCAGTATTTTTGAGGAGTAGAGTTGAGTTGGTTAATCATCATTTGCTTCTTCTTTTTCTTGTGTTTGGCTTGGTTATATACTTTATATTATAGTGTGTATTAGATTTTGTTATGGTGTTCTACTTCTAAGATATAATTTTCATATATTAACTGATATGATTCTCTCTATCTGTTCAGTTGTGATGTGGCAATTCCCGAGGCATCTAGCAATGTAATTATTATTATATGTAATAAATAGCAATGGAGTATAAATAATAGTGTTAGAAGTTAAGAGAGGAGTAATGCTGTAGTTGAGTGAGTAGCTGTTGTAGATAGTGATAGTGGTAGATGAAAAAGAATTTGACAATGGCATAATCATTTGTCCCCTGTGGCCTTGTGTTGTACAGGAGGAGAGATGCATTGCTGATGGAGCTTGAAACTACTGTTATGCTGAAGGTCTGTCATTACTCATTACATGGATGCAGTTGTTTTCTTCATTGGCTTTATGGACAGATGGAGGAGCTTGACTTGACTGTGTTGTGGTATGTCATATGTCAATTTTAAGTGGCTATCTATCCATTCCCATTTGTAAATGGAAATTCTGCCAATTTGACATACAAGTCGAGACTCATCTAGTATAGTAACCATTAGGCTGTGTGTTTGGTTTGGTATGATGGAATTGGAAAAGAAACCATGTTTGTTTTGCCTGACATAATCAAATGGTCTGGAAGGAGCTCGATCTTACTCATTTTTTAGCTTGTGGAGCTGTTTTTTTTACTTCTTCCATTCCATTTTGTGGTATGCTCAATAACATGTTTATATATATGTAATTTTTGTTTACTTTTTTTCATTATTTTAATTAATCTAAATCTGAATTTTTAAAGATGGCTAAAAGATGTTGAAATTGAAACTTATTTCTGTTTTCTATTGTCTTTTTGATTTTTAAAAATTTATATATAATTAAAATAATCTATAAAGTAGAGTTAAAATTATTTTTTCAAATGGCAGCTATATGCTAATTTATTCCATCACATATGTTCTCCAGACATGAATTCAACCATCAGACTCTTGGGGGGTGGGTCTTAACATTACTTTTATGTCAAAAGCTTGTTGGTTAGTAAAGTCATTATATCATGTCAACCAAACATAATTATGTAATATGATTCATTTCATTACCATATTAATTCTCTTACCTAATAAACTGAGCTCTTTAGTTAACAAAACAAACCCGAGTTGATTTCTAAAACTGGTTGAATAAAATCTAAGCATTTAATGGATTGGTTTTGTATGGATCATATTTGATGCATTTCTGCCTTACAATCTATCAAGTTTACATAAGAAGAAAACACACGCACAAATCAACATACCAATAATGTATTGTTTCTCTTTCGAAAAAAAATAATGTATTGTGTTTTATTTGGAAGATGAAACCAATAGGGAATTCAATTGAGTACAAAAAAAATAAATGTTGATAAAATGATGTTAAAGAAGCAAGTGACATTTAATTTAAAGAATAAGCCGATGCGATACCCTTGTAAGGATCTCCTAGTGCAACAATGTTTCCGGGCCTTGAAAACACAACCTTAAATCAATGAACAAAAAAGTGACGAGACTTAGCAAGATACACTTTCTTCTATTATCTTATGATGATTATAAATTGATTGCATGTTTTAAGAAAAAGAATACTAAATACCTGGTGATCTCCAAGTGTGTGGGTCTTAAAACCAGCAGCACAATAATCAAAATAGTATTCCCATGTACGAATGAATTTTTGGTTGAACCCCAGAGCAAGTATTTTGCTATGAACAACATTAATAATAAATACCACGCCCACAATCATCAAAATGCATAAAAAACATAACAATTCTTTACCTTTGTTTTTCCATGAAGTTTTTCCTCCAATATCTTAGCGTTTGGTAGTAATGTATCCCTATGTTTTCCACTTGCTCTACACTGTAATTATATTAAGCATTTTGATGAGCTCCTCATATGACCATAAAAAGTTGTTAAAAAATAGGACAAATTGTAGGGAATAGCAATGTACTTTTCTCTCGCTACAAATATCAGCACTATACTTTATTTTTTACCTACAATTTCAACATAGCTATATTTTGCTACTAATATGGGTTTTGTACTTCATCTGTTATATATATGTTGTTATTTTCGGTAAAGAATTATAATTACATTATTGTCATAAGTATGAAAGTGCAAGTACATTGGTATTATGTATGAAGAAAAGGCAAATATGTTGCTATTTATTTTGTTAAAAAAAAAGTAAAGTACATTGCTATTTTCTACTATTTTCCCTTATTAAATAGGACTTACCAGAGGCCGGATGATGCAACCATCGCAGATGTTACTCTGCTAAGTGAAGGCAAGCAACCTCCAGGAAATATGTACTCTTTTATAAAGTCCGAGCTTCGTCTGTACTCATCATACCTCCTGTCTGGGATTGATATGAACTGATGATCCAAACTATATCAGTCACTATTCGACTTTAAAAAGTTTAAAAGAATAAGAAGAAGAAGAAGAAAACTTGCTTGCAAGACAAAAAGTCCATTGTTTGCCAATACTGATTCACAACAACTAAAAAACTCTTCCATGTATTCATGCCCAACAGCTTCTAGCATTTCACTACAGATAGTCACATATGAAAAAGATTTTAATTACTAAATCCTTAAAATTATTTTACTGAACACATTTAAACTAAAAATATATGTTAAGCATATTGACTAGAAGATATATGAGAACTCACCAAGATATTATTCTATCGTATTTGTAAGTATGAGGCAATTGCCTATAGTCACATAGTAGAAATCTGATTTTGTCCTGAAATTGCATTTAAGAAGTCGATAAATTAATCAAATGATGACTTTGATATATCACAACTAAATAATAATACCTGTAGGCCAGCTTCCTTCACTTTAGTTTCTGCATATTTTAGTTGCTCCTCAGAGAGGGTGATGCCAGTGTATCTACATCCAGTTCTTTTCACTAATTCAATAGCCAAAGTTCCCCAACCACATCCTATCTCAAGAACTTTGTGTTCCTTATCAACTCTTGCCTTTTCAATCAATGAAGAGATCTTTCTCATCTGTGCTGTTTTCAAGTCTTCATCTTCATTCTATATATTGTAAGTGCGAGTTAGACTTGAGTAAGACAAAAACAGAACTCAAAATATATAATACATTCTTACCTTAAATATTGCACATGAGTATGTCATCGTGTCGTCCAAGAACAATGCAAACAACTCATTACTCTATATAATATAATAGATTAAATGGTTGTAACGTTAGTGAGGTGCATAATGAATGTTTACAACATATAAATAAAAAAAAATATTTCAAATACCAAATCATAGTGGCGAGATATGTTTCGACGTGCTTGAGTAAGAGAATTTTGCCTTGAAATATGATGATAGAAATACTTGGCTGATGCCACTCCAGCTGTTAAAAACATTGGTGTCCACCAGCCCCTAGAGCAAGCACATACTTCATGCCATGAGTATAATTAAAGAACAACATATGAAGATGTGTTAAAAGCTGTAACTACCTTTTGCTGGACTTTTGGGCACAACTTTCTAAATCTCTGTTAATAATGAAAATCTATGAAACAGGAAAACTTGAGTGAGAAAGCACAATAGGAAATTAACTAGTTAAATAAATATAAACCGAAAACCATTAAGTTTACCATAAACATATTTAAAAGGCCTTCTTTTTTATCAACAAAGGAGAAATCTCCATTTATGTAAGCATCAGCAAGACCTAAATCGGCTTTTGTAGCAATCTGCATGGAGATTTCTTGATATTAATTAAATCATTTCGGGTTGGGTTGTATCCCTAAGACAAAAGTACAATTTCTAGAAGACCTAAGATGCATTAACCTTCCAATAGAATTGGGGATTGTGAACTTTGAGATAAACTTTAAAATTGCTCCTCTTTCTGGTTCCTTCAAAGGTGAACATTGTACCTCCTTCTTCTAATAAACTATAAGAAATAAATATTATTACGTATAATATAAGTTGTGTTATGTTTGAAAATAACCCTCAATTAATAGTTTAAAGGGACGATGTTTATTGTTCCTCACATTAAACTTCCCATAGCGATATAATCTTTAAGGAACCTAGCAACAAAAAACCTTGCACCAGTTTCCATTAGAGATGGTACCATATGTTTAGGGTCCTTGAGAATTTCACAGCTCTTACTAAGCATGCCATTTGCAGCAAGCATACCAGCCTTTAACCCATCCTCATGGAACCCATAACCTATACAAATAAATAAATATGGAGTGAAGCATATATAAATGAAAATTAAATAGATAATCTAACATATCATATGAATATATAGTCAACAAGAATAAAACTACCCTGGTATGCACCACAAAACCAAATTCCTCTCTTCCCTTGAATTTGATTTAGCTCAAGTGAAGCCTTTGATGCAGCAACTGATGGGACTGGATGTCCAGTTGTCCACTTGAGCATCATATGTTTTGGTGTTCGGGGTGGATTTAGGGTAACCAGAAAAGGTGGCCCCTTATCATCAATGTTCTGCATTTTGATCATGTAAATTAATTATATTCTTGAAAATATGATATTTTTGCACTTACATAAATGCGATCAATATAGCATTGATCATACAAACCTGAAGCACATTTAGCCAATATGTTAAGCAAACTCTATTGTCCACGGTTCCAAGAAAGTTCCATGAGCTCCATGCAGATGGGTTCTGGGGCATTAGACTTTTGTCACGATGTAGAAAAATATCACTGCCAACAAAAAAGACTTGTAAACTTTTAATCCGAATCTGAAATCATAAAGTAATTAATTAAACAACTAAAGTATTTAAGAGGTTACCTATACACATAATTAAAAGCACCAAGAATTCTTCTTTCTTCGTGTGTAGCTTCTTCTCCTAACATCTTTAGAGTTTCTGGCGCATGCGTAGCCATTATGCATTCAGAATACGTTTCTCGTGATCCATCTTTGCATAAAACTAAACAACCTGTTCATACTCCAAAACATTCAAAATGAGAAGCTTTGAAACAACAACTTTCTATACTAAAAATAATGTTCAAGATCACAAAACTCAAGTATGTAGATAGAAATCACTTACCATTATCGACTTTTGTGATAGATTGGACAACGCAACCCATTCTTATTTGGCAACCTCTCTTCTCCAGTTCTTCTCTGACCTTTTATTCATTTAATCATATAGTTAAAATGATCCATCTCTTAATTGTGGTGAAGCTGATAGCATAATCATTCTACCATGAAAACAGTTAAGGAATCACCTTTTTCACGTAGGTTTGTGACCTCCATCTGATAGTAAACCACTGGGGGCGACCAAAAAGCTGATAAAATATTGAAAATAAGTAAATCATATATATATATATATATATATATATATATATATATATATATATATATATATATTGATGACGTGCCCCTGGCACACACGAAGAAGCCGCTCATAGACACGCCAGAGAATGCCCCAAAGCATGCCGCGCCAAGCGGACTAAGCCCGACGGAACCTAGCGCCTGTCAGTGCCCCTAAGAGCAGGGCGCTCGCGGAGAAGGCTCGGCCCCGCCAGGGGCGCCTTCCACTCCGGGACAAATGTAACGGCCTCAGGCGACAAGGCAGATGCTCAGAACATTACCGCCTGAACCAATCGTTGGCTCTAACAGATTAAGGAGCACGATCTTCCAATCAACGTCCCCGATCCTGTCGGGTCTGACGCCCTTGTCCCGTACGGACTAGCAGAAGGACTCAGTATAAAAGGCCACCCCAGGTGCCTTGGAGAGTAAGTTGTCTTCTCCCAGTTTACACACAATACAGTCCCAAGTCTATCTGACCGTCGAAGCGTTTTCCCGGGAGCCTCCTCCCGGAGAACAGCTGGCGATCCTTTCTCGTTGTGACCTCGCAGGTTCATCGGAGTCATCATAGGCGTACGACACTACCGTTCGGGAACCAGGTCACATCATATATATATATATATATATATATATATATATATATATATATATATATATATATATATATTGACTATGAATAATTGCGAAAACGTTTGTGTACCTGAAGTAGATGATGATTGCGGCAAAATGAGAGAACGGAAAAAGCAGAGAAACTCTTAACTCCTTCGGCAGGGCAAGACCATATGGAGGAGCAAACTGGAATCTGTTACAAAATTTTATATCATATATTCCCACTTAAATCGTTTTTATCAGTTCAACTATTAAAAAGCTACTTGTTGAAGTTTTCTCACAAGATAAGCATTCTGAAACAACTCAGAGTAACCATGTGACTTGAGAAAGTCCCCCAATGTTTCATTGCGACTAAGGTCTTGGTTGTTTTCAAGCTCTTCAAGATACCTATATCAGTTATGATATTAGTTTTGAACTACTAGCAAATTTGCTTTAATTATATTATTTGAAGCCTATATGTTTCGTTTCAAAACATGAATTCATGTAGTATTGTCAATTTGTAAAATTTACCTTAATACATCATCTTTAAACTTGGTAATTTCTCTAATCATCTTCCAGAAGTAAGGATTTAGTACATTCTTTTTTTGTGCAAATAAACCTGATAAACCGTTTCGACTGCCCCATTCACAACCATTGCCTTCATCTAAGCTTACGGAGAACGACATATCAGAAATCTCAATATCAACTCCAAGCGTCTCGAAGAACTCTATCATGTTGGGATATGTAACCTGGATATTCATCAATTGATTATATATATATATATATATATATATATATATAGATATATATATATATATATATATATATATATATATATATATATAACACCTAATTAAAAATAATAGGAGTCTAGATGAAACTTGACTAAATTTTTACTTATGAAAGTCAAAATAGAACAATTCTTCCAAAGAATACAAAACCCTTTAATTTATATCACGTCACCTTAATAATTAGACTAAACTGAAAAAATGGTCACGTGGTTTGCAGAAAACTGTGGATGAAGTCCAAAATCTTTTCAACTTACACCAATAGTCGAATTTCAAATCGTTTTGGTGATCTTGGTCCCTATCAACTTGAAAAGACGATTATACCCTTATATTTGTATTTTTTCAATTTTATGTTTACTTTGATAATTTTAGATAATTAAAATAAAAGAAGGTCTCACCAACCCCACACCTCCCCCTATCCACTCTGTCTCACTTCCTAGTGTTATATCCCTCCCATCACTATCGCCACTTCATATCCTCCAGCCATTGCTCCGACCCACTTCATCTCCTCCGACGAAGTGAGAGCTGAAAACCCTAGAATCTATCAAAATGTAAAAAAAGTTCAAATCTTTTTAGTTTGATCATGTCTACTTCCTTATCCGTTGTTTTTCATGGTGACACCATGCTCTCCAACAAGGTGATTATGTCTCATAACCATCTTTACCTCTATTCAAGGAGACCCAACATCACCCCCTTCATCTCCATCCCACCCATTACAAACTACCACTTGGTCCATCATCACCGTCTTCACCATTTTCGTTGTTCTGACCTAGTCAAGATCAACAAGAAAATACACCTATCGACTGATATCTAAAACACTACCAAACAATCCCCTCTCAGATTAAAACTATAAGAACACCATCATCATTGATTTCTCACCATCTCAACAGACCAATACCATCTATTATAGAAGCATTAAGGGTGGGGGGAAGAATTTGATACCTCAATCAAAACTCAAGAATTGGAACCCTAAAGTCGATAATTTGGGAAGAAGACGATACATTAATGTTGATCTTGATGTTGGTGAGGGCATTTAAATCAGAACATTGGTTGAAGATGACGTTAGTATATAGTGGCCGATGATGTTAGGTCTGATGATTTAGGGGCTGTTTGTTTTTTTTGTGAAGATCTGCGCAACCACTTTTGTCTGCGCCGCGCAGACAACGCGCAGACATATGCTCTCGCAGAGTGTTTGTTTTTTGGAAGTGCGCAGATCAAAAAACGTCTGCGCGAGGTCTTCCTGGTGCAGACATATGCCACTGTCTGACCTCATTTTAACCTAAACAAAAAAAAACATGGGCCACTATGCAGTTTTTTTTTTTTTTTTTTTTTTTTTTGCTGAAAATGCATTTTTAATGTTTATGACATGAAATTAATTTGAAAAATCAATTTATTTCAACAGCTGCAGATAGGCTTGCACAAAAAAACCGGTTCAGGATCCGAACCGGTCACTGAACCGGTAAACCGGTTCACTACGAACCGGTCAACTATGAACCGAACCGATTCAAGAACTGAACCGCCGGTTCGCACCCGTTCGAGATTTTAGATATTGAAACCGGTTTAGAACCGGTTTAATAACCGTGAACCGGTTTGGAACCGGTAGTCAAACCGATCGAATCGGTTTAGAACCGGTGTAACCGGTTTAGATAGGTTCGAGTTTTTTTATGACGGAACCGGTTTGAACCGAACCGGTTTATGGCTGAACCGGTTTTACTATTCACGAATCTGAACCGAACCGGTTCGGTTTGAAAAAAAAACCGGTTTGTTCACCCCTAGCTGCAGACGTTAAAAACAATCAGTCTTCTTATTACAGACTGCAGACATTTGGTCCACCTCTTCTGCCGTAGAGGCTTGCAGATATGGTCCGCAGACTGCATACATTTTGGTTTCAAAAAAACAAACAACACCTTAGAGATGGTGAAGGGCTGGTGAAGGTTGGTATTCCGATGAAGTAAATATGGTGATCGGATTGAAGATGATGAACATGGGTTTTAATGGTGTGTATGATGGTTGTGGTGGTGGTTTGTAGACTAATGCTTAAAAATGTATAAAGATGGTGATGAGCTAGGTGGTGGCAGAGAGAGAGAGAGAGAGAGAGAGAGAGAGAGAGAGAGAGAGAGAGAGAGAGAGAGAGAGAGAGAGAGAGAGAGAGAGAGAGAGAATTTTCTTTTTTAATTATTTTTAATTAAATGAATAAGAAAATATATAAAATATATTATAAAGAATTATTTAAGGGATGTATCTGTCATTTTAGGTTGGATGTGGAACAAAATCATAAGAAAATGTCAACCATAAAGACCAAAATCATAAAAAATATCCAAAATTAAATCACTGATAAAAGTTGAAAAGATTGTGGATTCTATCTATAATTTTTACAAAACCACAAGGACCAACTTTATAGTCTACTATAATAATAATAAGAGAATAGTATAATTTATAAATGGTCCTTATGGTTTCTCAGATTCTTGTTTTTCGTCCCTAATTTTTTTCGTTATATTGATGGTCCATGTGGTTTCAATTTCTTGCATGGTAGGTTCTTTATCCATATAAAATAACCATGAGCGGCGTTGAGGGAGGATAAAGTGAGCAGCTGCACATGGTCTAATTTTTTTTATTATATATTTTTATTTAAAAATTAAAACTTATAATAACGATAAAGACTTTTTTTATCTAGTTCGTCCTGAGCCAAAGATATTTAATTTTTCAGGACCGGCCTGAAAATAACCTTTATACATTTTTCTTTTTTAACTTTTATCTTTATTTAAACATGAAAATCGTAGAGTTCGGGCTAGCTTGTCAACCGTATAAGAAACAAGAAAATCATGATTAATATGCAGAAGTTATGATGAACGGAATTGGGGTAAATATTGGAGTAAAATGCAGAATTTTTCTCGAAGGCATGGAATAGTAAGGGCAAACCGGGTATTGCACAACCAGTTAAAAATCTGGTGTGTTCTTTTCCTGGGGGGCATATCTGGTATATGCAGCTTGGGGTTTATAAAAAATAAAAACGGAAAAATTGAAGGTGTGCGATGATGATTCAAGAAAGATCGAGAGAGAGAAAGAGAGAGAGAGATAGCGAGTATTACAAGCAGCCCAAGAAAACAAAACAAAGAGGTTGAGCAGGAGCAGCGATAGTTGCTGCCATCACGATCTAAGGATGAAAAAGCAGCAAAATCGCTGCTGGTGGTCGACCACGTTGTTGACCGGCGGTGTATGGTGCTACTGGTGGACGGAGACGACCCCAAGGTGGCCGGAATTTCTTAGAAGCAGCCCAAGAAACTTCATCTTTCTATATTTGGGCAGATTCTTGGTAATTTCTTGGAACCCTAGATCTTTATTAAAATAAAAGATTAGAAATTTTGAAATTGGATGTTGGAGTTGGAAATTAAGAATTTAAATACATATTATGTTGAGTTCATAAACAACAAGAATCAAGTGATTATGTGAAGGATTTATCAGGTTCAAGGGTTGACTTTTCTGCTATAGCCAAACCTTGATGTTCATGACTGAAGTTTGAAAGCATATGATGAAAAAAAGTTATGATATTTCGATTCTTAACGTGGGTTATGCTTGAAATGATAAAAATTAGTCAAATGCAAATGTTTTGATGCTAGAATAGTGTTGTTTGTATCATGTGAAGTTCAAACACATCAAAGTGTAAATTGTGAATCTTGAAATTTTTAAAGATGATAGTGGCTTTGACTTTTGGTAGGAACATTGGTTTGGAATATGTTGGTAAAAGAAACATGCTTGGATGTGATTATTAACGAATGTTGTGCAAGTATGAATAGTATATGCCAAGAATCGAACACGAAAGAAAGGAATAAGGATTTGACAAAATTGCAAGAATGGTCCCTATGGTTAGGTCGAAATTGCCACTTTGGGCCCAATAGGTTTGGACTAGCACTCATGGTCCACAGGTTTTCATTTTCTTGCCACTTTGGTCCAATTTACTTTAAATTTTTTAATAATGATCATTTTGCCTTTTGTTTTTACTTTTTCAGTTTTTTTATTTATTCAAATACTTTTATAATTAAAAGAAAAATAAAAAAGAAAAACTCTCTCTCTCTCAAAATGGAAACTTTTGTTTTAATACCAAGAACTCAATCCACCACCATCATCTTCTTCAAAACCCAACTCCATCCGTTTCCTTTCTCACCCATCAGTCCTCTCCCCTAGCCCAAACATATTCGTCGAGCTCCACCATCCACCAGAGATCCAGAGTTTCGACCTCGGGAAAAATCCATTGTGTGTGTGTGTGTGTGTGTTTGCTCTGGTGTGTGTGACTCTCCAGTTCAGATCTTCAAAATTAGTACCATCTCTATACGGGTATTGTTCATCGTCTTCTCTGCCTTCTTATCTCCTTTTGTAATCAGTATCTTCTGCTTCGTGGAACTGGGTTTATTGGCTTCCCGAAATAGAGGATGGAAAATATGATTTTTGAACAGATTTGGGATGTTCATGGCGGCTAGGGTTTCTTGGTGGTGATGCATCGTGTCCGCTAGGGCTTGCTTTAACATCTGATTTTTGCATCTAGTTTTGAAAACTGATTTGTGAATGCTCTTGGATAGATTAGTGCTTTTGTAATATGATTTTGAATGTTTTGTCTGCTTTAAAATCGATGAACATTCAAAGATAGATTGTTGATTTCTAATTTGATTTTGGTTATCAATGCTTAATATTTGATGATTCATAGCTGATCAACTTTTCTTTTACAAGAAGATAAAACAAGAAATAAAAATGATTTCTAATTTTTTATTCTTTTATAATGGTGGAATCTGATGGTGGTGGTGACAGGAGGGGGTGATGGTAGCTGTAGGTGGTGGTTCTGGAAAGAACAGTGGAGGGTGGTGATTTAGATGCTCGGAGTAGATGCAGAGAGCTTCAGGTTCTAATGGAGAGAGAGAGAGAGAGAGAGAGAGATTTTCTTTTTTATTTATCTTTTAATTATAAAAGTA